ACTGCCAGATACATTCTCTCTTTCTACATTACATTTGTAAATCCTTTATCTTCATAACTGCTGAAACAGCTGAGCAATGGCACAATATGACATTTTCATAATGTATGGCAGCCATAGCAGATATATGAAAATAGATCAGAAGCCTTGCACAAAGTTTGGTTCCTTCATTAGTGGGAGCATTGCATGCAAAGTTTAGTTTTACCTGTTGACTTGTTGTTGAGCACATGTAGATGGCTTTTCTCATCAAAGCAATGTGTGGCCTAAGACCAGAGGTCAGACAAGGTAACAAGTGAACTTATCATAAATCCCATCGGATATTATTTTTTTACTACCTTACACCTATACATCTATACAATTCGAGCTTAATCCCTGCTGAAGTAGCTGAGCAGTGGAACCAAATGACATTTTCATTATGACCATCTCTGAAACTTCAACATGATTTTTTACGATGCTACCATGAAATATGGATTGTGATCTAAGTCCACAGGTTAAATGAAAATCAAACAAAAAAATCTCTGAAAACTTTTCATCTATGTTCAGAGGACAGCTTTTAATTGTGCAAATATCAAATTTCAGCTCAATCACTCCATAAACAAGGGCCATCAGGAGATGACATATCCCCTCAGTCCCACAAAATGTACGTCAGTAGGAGCATAGAACAAGTACGAAAAGGCCAAAATGTCTACACTGCAAAACTTAGCACTTCACACATTGTTGGTAAGTGCAGAACGTTTCATGAAAATATATCAAATAATTGTCATTGTCTATCCAATACAAACAATACACCCCAAATTAACCTAAGTCAAACATATTTCTTCATGGAAACAGAAAGGTCAAAAAGATCAAATAGCAAAAGGCACTACTCCAGTGCACTTGATATGTGTAGAAGGTTTCATGAAAATCTATCAAATGGTTTTCAAGTTACACTCTGGACAATACAGTCCCACATAGCAAAAGAAATTGCTTTAGTACTTCGTTGCTAGATGTAGAAAGTTTTGCAAAAATAAGTTTTTTGAGATCTGTTGTGTAAACGAAGCATAATGCCAAATAGGGACGAAATCCAACTTGTAGCAATGAAACTAAAACACTAAGAAGTTATAAATTTCTAAATATCAAAAGGCACAACTACAGTATGTTATAAAAGTGTGTACCAAGTTTCATGAAAAAATGAATGTTTCGTTAGATCTGCTCTCCATTATTTGCGAGGGGGATAACAAATGTCTAATGAAGCTGAAACACGTTTTCAATATGATTACCACAGCGATGACAACAGAAAAAGCAGGCCGCAACATAAACCTAGCTGGTCTTTGTCCATATGAACTAATAAAAACAAAATATCATGATCATTTTCCATGCAACACAAAACTATTCAAAACCTGGTCTATTATATCCTTAGCAATTAACAGCAGAACTGAAAACAATTCAGCATAACTAATTTGTGTCTGACATTTCTGTGCAAAACACTGGACATTTTTCACAATATACCTGGTAAGTATCTTCAAGTCAACATATTTCCATGGAAATAAAATAATGTTGTAGAAAGATTTTTTTGACAAAAGATAAGTGTTTAATACTGCATATAAAAAGAAAGAAAACTGATTATCAATAGACCCCAAAATGAATGTTACCTCTGCATCTTATGCAGAGCAGTGGAAATTAGGTCAGGCTTGAAAATCAACTGTTCTCTGTTACAATGTCATGTGAATGTAAGAGCCATCTTCAGAAAAATCACATTTCACATCAACACAATGGTGATTTTGTATGAACGAGAAATACATCAAGGTCCTCACAATGGTGGCACTATAGAAACAAAAATACAACAAATAAGTTCTTATACACAGATCAAGGTCATCATATCGTTGGCGCTGTAGTAAGGCAGAAATAAGGCACACAAGTCCTCGTGTAACACACACATTAAGGTCCTCACAATGTTGGCACTGTAGGAAGGCAGAAATAAAACATATAAGTCCTCGCGATACAAACACATCAAGGCCCTCACAATGGTGGCACTGTAGGAAGGCAGAAATAAAACACACAAGTCCTCGTGTAACACACACATCAAGGTCCTCACAATGTTGGCACTGTAGGAAGGCAGAAATAAAACATATAAGTCCTCGCGTAACAAACACATCAAGGCCCTCACAATGGTGGCACTGTAGGAAGGCAGAAATAAAACACACAAGTCCTCGTGTAACACACACATCAAGGTCCTCACAATGTTGGCACTGTAGGAAGGCAGAAATAAAACATATAAGTCCTCGCGTAACAAACACATCAAGGCCCTCACAATGGTGGCACTGTAGGAAGGCAGAAATAAGGCACACAAGTCCTCATGTAACACACATCATGGTCCTCACAATGTTGGCACTGTAGGAAGGCAGAACTAAGGCACACAAGTCCTCATGTAACACACATCAAGGCCCTCACAATGTTGGCACTGTAGGAAGGCAGAAATAAAGCACACAGGTCCTCATGTAACACACATCACGGTCCTCACAATGTTGGCACTGTAGGAAGGCAGAAATAAGGCACACAAGTCCTCATGTAACACACATCAAGGCCCTCTCACAATGGTGGCACTGTAGGAAGGCAGAAATAAAGCACACAGGTCCTCATGTAACACACATCATGGTCCTCACAATGTTGGCACTGTAGGAAGGCAGAAATAAGGCACACAAGTCCTCATGTAACACACATCATGGTCCTCACAATGTTGGCACTGTAGGAAGGCAGAAATAAGGCACACAAGTCCTCGCGTAACAAACACATCAAGGCCCTCACAATGGTGGCACTGTAGGAAGGCAGAAATAAAACACACAAGTCCTCGTGTAACACACACATCAAGGTCCTCACAATGTTGGCACTGTAGGAAGGCAGAAATAAAACATATAAGTCCTCGCGTAACAAACACATCAAGGCCCTCACAATGTTGGCACTGTAGGAAGGCAGAAATAAGGCACACAAGTCCTCATGTAACACACATCAAGGCCCTCACAATGTTGGCACTGTAGGAAGGCAGAAATAAGGCACACAAGTCCTCATGTAACACACATCAAGCCCCTCACAATGTTGGCACTGTAGGAAGGCAGAAATAAAGCACACAGGTCCTCATGTAACACACATCACGGTCCTCACAATGTTGGCACTGTAGGAAGGCAGAAATAAGGCACACAAGTCCTCATGTAACACACATCAAGGCCCTCACAATGGTGGCACTGTAGGAAGGCAGAAATAAAGCACACAGGTCCTCATGTAACACACATCATGGTCCTCACAATGTTGGCACTGTAGGAAGGCAGAAATAAGGCACACAAGTCCTCATGTAACACACATCATGGTCCTCACAATGTTGGCACTGTAGGAAGGCAGAAATAAGGCACACAAGTCCTCATGTAACACACATCAAGGCCCTCACAATGGTGGCACTGTAGGAAGGCAGAAATAAGGCACACAAGTCCTCATGTAACACACATCAAGGCCCTCACAATGTTGGCACTGTAGGAAGGCAGAAATAAGGCACACAAGTCCTCATGTAACACACATCAAGGCCCTCACAATGTTGGCACTGTAGGAAGGCAGAAATAAGGCACACAAGTCCTCATGTAACACACATCAAGGCCCTCACAATGTTGGCACTGTAGGAAGGCAGAAATAAGGCACACAAGTCCTCATGTAACACACATCAAGCCCCTCACAATGTTGGCACTGTAGGAAGGCAGAAATAAGGCACACAAGTCCTCGTGTCACACACATCGAGGTCCTCACAATGTTGGCACTGTAGGAAGGCAGAAATAAGGCACACAAGTCCTCGTGTCACACACATCAAGGCCCTCACAATGTTGGCACTGTAGGAAGGCAGAAATAAGGCACACAAGTCCTCGTGTCACACACATCATGGTCCTCACAATGTTGGCACTGTAGGAAGGTAGAGCAGTGGAAATTAGGTCAATTGAAAATCAACTGTTCTCTATTACAATGACATGTGAATGTAATCTTCAGAAAAATCAGACTGAGGCAATGTTGAACTCGTAAATGCTGAAGAAACTGGAGTGGCATGTGGAGCCAATGGAACCTTTCCTGCAGACTGCACAGAAAGCACAGAAGGCTGGGAGCTTTCATCCTTTGATCTGTATCTCTGTAGCACTGGAAGTGGGAGAGGTGGTGGGATTGCATCCCTTGATCTGTATCTCCGCTTTTGAGGGGGGGATTTGCACTGTTGCAAATGTCTTATTTCAGATTCAACTGCAAGCAACATCTGGTCAAAGTTGCAGTGCTGAGGACATTCAGTATACCCATACAACTTGTTAATGTCTCTCGAGTGGATTTCAAGCCTACAGTTAATGCTGTATAACCTGTCATCAATCCTTGCAACCTCATTAACAACACGATGCATACAGCTGCAACACTGACCCATCACTGAAGACAGCAGACATCAACTAGCACATGTCAGCCATTGATTACCCACAATTCATTTTGTGTTGACCCATTTCATCCAACAGTCCAACATTGTGAGGACCTTGACTTCAATAAGATGCTAAAACTTCTGACATGTTCCCTTTAGCAAAGAGTCAATTGTCATTGGTCATATGACAACATCACCACTCTGAATGTAGGGTACTATTGTGGATAGGGGGATGATACGGATGTTGGCATGTCAGACTGTGGATGCAGAGTTTGTAGGTTAGCATTCCAGACAAGGGGAATGTTATCCATCTCTGTTGTAGGGACAGTCCTACAAACTGTAGGATAGGGTCACTTGTACAAGTGATTACACCCTCGGTAGCATGTTTCTCATAGATCGCACTGCACCACATAGCCACATTGATAGTGCAGGCTCTCCTGCTTACAACTGATTTCTCAGAAAGACAAGTCTAAAGAAAAATAGCCTCGTGTGATCACATGTATTCCAGCACAAAAATAAAAGGCCTTCAGAAAACATTTTGAAATCAAGTATTTAAATCTAAAAACACATATGGAAGCCACCCATTTCTAACTTTGTTGACACTCTAATGTGAACAGATTTAAGATCTCCCACCTGACAGATATTAATAAATTATTGTAACGAATAAAGTTGTATTATTTTAGGTCTTGATCACAAGTAATATCCCCGATGCACTCATTTTTCATGTATTAATATTTATTTCAGTGATTATTACACTATAGAGAAGTTCAGTGTTAGAATTCTATTTTGTCATATGCCACGTCCAGAGTGACCATATTGTCTTCAATGTAGCAAACATGGACAAGACTACCATTCACTTGATCAACTGTTGAAAGAAGGGTGAGAAAGCGCCAACACTAGACATGCTAGAGGACAGGAGATATGTCAGATCCTTCAGGTCTATGGCCCAAAATGTTGACGAGGATGGCTTTCAGTCACTGTGAACACACTGTGAAACTTCAATGATTATGAAATGATACCAAAACTCAAGCATGCAACTGGGTTTTGTGCAAAAGAAGAATCTGCTAGAATGTTTATGGAAGCTGCAGGGGATATTTCCGGGATACTAGAGATCAATTTGTCAAAAGAATTGATGAGTGTACATAAGGATAATATTAAGACTGCAGAAAACCACATAGATGAAAATCAGATAACATCTTCAGTTTACATTGATAAAAATGTCGTGGACCTCCAGTCAAAACTGTCTTAAACTTTTATCAGTTATCCTCAGTTTGAAGAAGTGACTTAGTCTATTCACTTAAGAGTGAGAAACAAGTCGACAGGAACGGATATGGCTGGAACTTTGGATATAGGTTTGAGTAAACACTTTTGAAACTGTAATGGATCTCCAGTCAGAACAGTGTAGAAATTACATTACAGAAAATATATCTATATCCTGAACCTAAAATTAAACATTTCAGGAACTAATTGACGACTTAAGGCATAACTATACCACTAACATAATGACACAACATTCTGAGAAAAATATTGTGCCACATGCACTGTAGCTCACCAGGAAACTCAAATTTGATTGAAGTTGATATTTTAAACTTTGTGATTCTTCACAAAATATTTTATTTGTCTCCAGGGACGTGGTTGAAGAACATGTTCCTTCTGCTTAGCTTTTTCACAGTCGAGCTTCCCTGGGAGTGTTTTCAGACGGTTGAATTTTCCCAACTGCCTCTCAATAGCAGCCTTTTCCTCCTGGGTCCATTTTCTTCGAGGGGTTTGTTTGCGCTTTTTTCCACCTGGTGTGCCCACAAGTAAGTCTGGAATAGAACGGTTTTTAAAATTGTACTGATAAACTTTTGTTCTGACACGGGAATTTCGCCATCTTTTTTTTATCTCAGCATGCATATACATTCTAAATGAATCAATGCTCATTACTGTCATACAAAGCGGACTGAAAGAAGTCAAATTTGAGGAACATTTTTATCGCTAAAAAGCATGTTAGTGCATCTTTATCAGCTAGCACAAATGGATATAAAACTTGGCAATGAAAATAATTCATCTGGATTATCTGATGTTAACACAACATATACCCCAGGGGCCATCGGTCTACGAAAAGACTAAAACCAGATTATTACTGAACGACTGGTTATATGTGTAGTTGAAGAATACTGATTTCACTGGTATGCAGTGACGTACGTTTCTAGAAAAAAGCACAAACCATTCACCGCTCATGAAGAATGCACTAACAATCAAAATGTGAATTTAGTTTTGCAATGAATTTAATTAAAGTAATAGAACCTGACCCTGGGACTCTCATTTAAGGACAGAGGACAGCCCTGAAATTCATGAATGTGAACCCTAGAGTCCAGGTAAATCCCTGGTTTTGACAATATAGATCTCTGATTTTACCTTATGAAAATAATAAATGTACATAATAAATTCACTTTATGAAAGAATATCAGAACAAGGGAAAGTGGGAGAGTATTTACTGAATTAAAAACAAATGTACATAATGTATACATTGTGATTTCCCTCTACATAGTTAGCTTTCATTGTTTACCATACAGACTGAACAAGTGTTTGAAGTAAGGACAGTAAATTAACCTTGATGATTCTTTTCATTTGGATTGGGTGTTTCACCACATTCAGTACTAGCACCCTCAGCAGAAAGTTGTGCCCCACCATGATCTGTGACCGGCTCGACATCAACACTCTCTGTAACAAACATAAATCTATGTGAATCAGTACTACCTGAAGCTACAAAGGAAAAAGGTATTCCAACTTAACGTTATGGGTATTTACAGGTAGTGGGAACGATCCACTTTCAACAGTTTACGAAAGACTGTCAGAAAAGATATCAACTGTCTGAGAAACAAATGACAATGCATAGTAAATTAACCTTGCAGATGCTGTGCATTTTGACTGTGTGTTTTGCTACATTCAGTAACAGCAGGAACAGAAGGCTCTTCTCCATCATGATCTGAGACAACCTCCAAATCAACACTCTCTGTAACAATAAAGAATAAAAAGTTCAAGTTTGGCTTATCTAAACAAGGAGTGCTCTTTCCAGCACAACTTAGTCTAGTTTAGGGAAGCAATACCATTCATATGTTTTTAAAAAATAGTGCCACTGCACTGTGGCTCATATTGAGATGCAGATCTCTCCAAGTAGTAGCTATTTATGTATGACATCTAACAGTCTAAGCTGAAATATGTTTCAAGCTCCTTGAAATTGTCTATAATTTTAATGTCAAAAACTTTTGAACTTTACAACAAAATCTAAAATTTTGCAAAACTCGTTGGACACATTTTCATGAAAGCTTTATAAGCTAACCATGCATAAAAATTGCAGAGGAATCACTGTGAAAACAGCCAGACAATAACACTAAGCTGAACTATCAATAACTAAATGAGATCAGATCAAAAAGCCTGAAACAAACTTTGGTGTACTCATGATTACGGTCTAATCCGTCAAATTTTGAACAGTCAGCAGTGCCGATCCGTCGAATCATGCTTGAGTGGTTCTGTGCTAATCGGTCGAATTTCAGACCGTGTTAACACACTGGGAGAGTCTAAGTTCATTAATGAAGGGGTCGGATTGTATTGGATTAAACCACATGTTTTCTTTAATAGTTAAAGGGTTCTCAAATAATAACAAAGAAATTACCATTATAAATGTATACAGAAAACCATCCAATAAACTCACTAGCCATGATTTAGATATACTATCAAAATTCATAGGTCCCAATACCATTATACTCAGAGAGTTGTCCCCAACTTTATTTAATTTTATGATTAATGACATTTTCCCAGAAAAAAACCCCAAACTTTCTACAGCTAAATTTGCAGACGACATTTCATTCTGGACCTTCTCCACGTCTGTAAAACAAATCACCAGTAAAACCTATGCTAATTCATATCAAAACATGGGCTCAAAAATGGGGTTTCCATATTAACGTTAAAAAAACCCACCGTGGGCATTCTATTCAAAACGCAGCAAATGCAAAATTATACCCCCAAACTGCACATAAATAACCAAGAAATTGAATGTAAAAGGAAGTTAAATTCTTAAGGGTAACTTTCGACCACCACATGACATGGACACCCCACATTCATAATTTGGTCAACTCATGCCAAAAGGATTTAAACTTACAGAGTCCATCCGATTAATGGGCTACATTGATTGTGTTGGACACTTGTTCGGAGTATGGTGATCCTACAAACTGAAAATGTGTCAGTGAATAATGTTTCATTTTATTGAATGCAGATATAGATATAATGTCCTTGTGTATATTTCTCCGTATGAATGCATTTTATTTAATACATGAATTTAAATTTTGTACAAAAGTACAAAAATAAAGAGAGTCAAAACATATATTTAATGCATCAATTTCTCATTGTATCATATGAGTAGGTAAATAAGTTCAAAAGTACAAAGAGTCAAACCATCCAAAATTCCTTGCATCTTTCTCTTGGTATGATCCAATGTTTTGATAACTAATTAAAAGCTAAAGGTGCGTTCACACGTTGCAACTAGTTTGTTACAACATGTTGCATACAACAAGCTGCTCGTCTTGAGTTGCGTTCACACACAGGCCAAGTTGTATACAATTTTCGGTATCGTGAGATCTCGTTTTACATGTTGCTTAACAATGCACTGTAGAAACTAGCATACGGTCATGTTGTGTCGTCCGTTGGTATCGCCATGTTTGATGTCTGCATAAATATCATGAGACTACGAAACGCGATCTGATTGGCCAGAACCGTACAACTTGTCGCATGGAAATAAAGCAAGTTCTATTCCTTGCAACTCGCTTGCAACTTGTTGCATGCAACAAAAATCTGTCCAACTCCCCTGTTCACACTGTGAAATTTGTTGCATGCCACAAGTTTTATACAACTAGTTGCAATGTGTGGACGCACCTTAAGATCACAGTGCCCATGCGTCGAATGCATTTTACTACTCTGAAATCAGAAATTCGACGGATCGGTACACGACCGTACTCATGGGGTATCTTCCCATTATGACTACTCCCAGTTTGACAACTCATGATCATAATTATACAATGGAGCTTCCCTCCACTTATAATGTACTGTACCTGTATAGCTGATTACTCTCAGTTTGCCTACTCTTTGAAATAAACCTATTGGGGAGACCTATAATGATCAGAAGCCAAGTGAATCTGGGATCTTTGTGATCATTCATGGTTTGTTTTGATATTCGGATTAAAACTTTGCAAACTTATAGTACAGGGCCTAGATTTTCGAAGCTCTCTTAACGCTAAGATAGTCGTAAGTTAATGTTAATGTATGGCACTTAGCGCTAAGAGAGCTTCGAAAAATCTAGGCCAAGGTTGTTTGTTTTGAAAATTGGACATAATCCCTCCAACTTCCATTCAAAATATTAATGTAGAACGCAAACATATTCTCAATCATGTTTACCGAGCGCGATTATGTCATGGAATTTATTGCCTGATGGTGCTATAAATGCTATATCCCTGAATCAATTTAATACCATGATAAACCCAACAGAAATTCGCAATTATTTTGATTTAAATTTTGGGACTAGATTTTGTCAAATCATCCATTTTCGCCTCAAGCTTGGCTGTATTGACTTAAACGCAGACAAATATAACCGACATATATCAGAAACATCTAAGTGTCCATGTGGTCATTATAACGAAGACGTCATTCACTACCTTTTTACATGTCGGAACTATCAAAATTTAAGAACTGTGTATTTTTATATTCAAGGATACGATATTAAAACTACATTATACAGTAACAGCGGATTGAATAACTCAACAAATAGTGACATTCTCAACTCATAACACCAGTTCATTTCTAAAAGTAACTGCTTCCAGTAATTATCACTTCTACATAATTAAATATTCAATGTAAGACAAGTTTTATATAGCTTGATTTTCTGCTATGCATAACCAACACCATAGCGAACATATTTATTATTCAATCATTTATCTGTTATTTTGACTCAGTATTGTTCGTCTATCCAGGCTTCTGCTTTGACGAAATAAAAATATGTTTAAACCAGACTAAAGTACCAGAGTTTCATTGAGCTGTCGACGGCGGACCCATCACATTGTTTACAAAGTCTGTGTCGCTTGTGCTGCCCATAGTTACAAATATTATACAGCACACACAGTAACTTAATCACTGACTTACATAATGTAGTGTATATGGTATATCGTATAATTCAGTATATGTGTATACTTGAACTCTTCCACAACTATGGCCTATGTAATTAGCTGAATAAATATTGTATGAACCTGGTATAGCTATAATTGTTTATAAGTGTTTGTAGAACAGTCTACCTGATGGAGGAGAGAGCTAGTAATTGAAAACCACTCAACTGGGACAGGTTGTGTATTGGAAGGGTAGTCAAACTGGGAGTAGTCATAATGGGAATGAATCCCTCATGGGTAGTTTCAGCTTCACATATATCTTTGGAGATGTTTACACAAGGAAAAGACATAAGATCATCTGACTTTTGATCTAAAAAGCCAGACATAACAAGATTTGGCACCAATATGGAAAACCATCAGTAATTTAATCTTTATCTGATATGTCCATAATCTGAAATTGTTTGGTTGATGAATTCTAGTAAGTTTGAGCAAAATCCAGTTATAACTTTGCCTGAAACTGTAGTGGTAAGTGTTTTCACTCATCACATTGGCAAAAACATTGGGCTGCTAATAAACAGAATCAGATATACAATTTACCATCAACATCCATCTGAATCTCAGCAAGAGACTTTCCAGCAATGTTCTGAATGGTTCCCTTTTCTAATTCCACCAATATCTTGCTGATTTTTGCAATCTGTATTGTGTCTTCACGCAATCTATAATACTCACGGTGGATGCGAATATCATGTCCAAGAAAACTCGCTAATGCATCTAATTCATTGTCCTTAAGATTCAGCACTTGGGAAACTGTAGCCATGTGTTTCCTCAATGATGTTGAAGTAAGTAACTTTGTCACTTTTGCTCTGCAAGCAATGCTGAATTTTCTCAGTACATCTGCACACCTCAAAGGTATTAGAGATTCTCCACCTCTTGCAAAAACATACTTGTTATCTTTGCTGATGTTGCAAACATTCCGATATTTGTTCAGACAGTCAATCCTTGCCTTGTGACTGTCAGGTAGCAGTACTGCCACAGTTCTTCCTCTCTTTCCTCTTATCTCCACACGACTCATTGTACTGGTAAGCTTTCACTCAAAAGATGAGAGTGACAATGCTACTTCTTCATGCAAATCACTTCTGGCTGTCATTCTACCAGTATAGTGCTTCAGTTCCATTCTTTCAGTCTCTCCTCCTCTTCTTCTGTTGAAAAGGACTACTTGTGCCAGGACAACTTCTGCCAGATTTCGCCAGGTATCTTGAGATGGACATGATATGATCAATTTGAGCAACGTATCACCAGCCTCTTCCAGGTGTTCATTCATCTTCCTGATGTCCTCAGCAAGTGGTATTCTTTTGGGTGCATTAAATCTCCGCTTCTGGAGGGTTTGTAAAGCAACACTCGAAATGGCACTGTCCTATTCACATTCACAGAGATCCAAGAAAGCCTTGTCTCATCCTGAGATTTGAGAGCTGATGCATTGACAATTCTGGAACATTTTCTGAGTGAATGCCCCAGCTTTAGAGCCAAAGATGGAATTCCAAATGAACATTTGTCATCTGTGAATTGTGATGACATCATTAAACAACTGAGGCTTAATACAGTCAAAAAGAGTAACAATACCCTTCTTTGTTTCTCTTGCACACAAGAGGAATGGACCAAGCTCTCTCATCTTCTGTCTCACATATTGATACTGATGAACATTGCTTGCACATTTGTTGAACAGTCTGCAACCATACTGTACAATGAGGTCATCATTTCTTACAACGAGGGATACAGTGTCACTGTGCATTTTATCAAGCACACACTCTTTGAACACCATATTCACTTCTTTAGAAACGGGTAACAGTGCTGCCCCTGCAGCCTGAGGTTGATTCCTGGACTTAACATGTCCATCAAGTGTTGTATTGAATTTGCATCCTTGAACATGTCGCCAGAGATCCTTCCTCAGAAAAAAGGCAAAACAGTATTCACATGGGAAAAAATCAGCAGCAGTAACATTACTATCAGCACAAGGTCTTTTAAGAGGGATTATAGTTCCTTGTCCACAAGACAAAACTGTCTTATTATGATGAAAATTACCCCGGTTTCGGAGTTCCTGCCATTTCAACTTCCGTTCATTTGATTTCAATGGGAAACTTAAGGCAGATGCAACTTTTCCAACTTGTGTTTCTGCTCCATGTGTCTCGGATGCTTTGCATAAGATTTTTGACAGTACACACAGACGCTCACTCTTTGTGAGGACTTGGCACACTTAAATACAGTCACTATATTTTTATCACTTGAGTTCCGTCATTCTGAGTACTGGTTGTACTGTCTGCAACACACACACATATGTCAGTACTTTTAGTAGAGGAAGGTTGAGTATGCAGGGTTGGAAAGTCTGGACAATATTCATTTTCAGAAAAGGAATCAGAAACACAGCTATCTGAGAAATCCAAAGGAGATTTCTTGGGATTCAATCTTCTTATTTTCACTGGAAGCACATCTGAGCCTGAAGATTCTGTCACTAAATTTGAAGATGCGGGTTGTATAGGGTTCCACTCTTCATGGACTTGTAATCTTTGATTTAAACGTGTCTCTTCCACATTAGAAACATCTGCAACAGGAAATGGTGCTTTACTCTTGCATCCGGTTAGAGCTATCATAAAGTGCTGTTTAAAACAAAAGAAGCAAATGAGCAAAGCTCATGGATATACCTACAGTTAACTAGGAACACATACCCTAACCCATGTCATTATACTTGATCTCAGACGACTTCTGGATAAAACTTTCATTCAAAGCATCATCTATTAGTTGTTTTTAGATCTCAGTTGAAACAAAAATCGTTTTTTATAACTGTAAACAAAATCATAGATATTCGGCTAACAAAAAATGTTGTTTCTCAGACACCAGCTTCAGGCAGACTCTACATAGTGGAAATGGTGATTGCTGCTATTTGATGTTATTTTTTTAATGAAAACAGGCACAGTTTATTTCTCTACGATGAAAGGCTCATAGATCTACTATGCACTGGTAAAGCAAATAGACATATTGGTATAGACATTTCAGTACTTGTTTTCAGTAGTGTGTGGGTGACAACATGCATCTATTCGATTTGTGTTCCTTTATGAATTTTTATCAGAAAGCAAAGCCTTTTTGACAGGTTTACCCAGTGATTGTTTCTAAACATTTTACATTCAATAACAAACAACTCTCAACATATGCAGTAATATGTTCTATTCAAAGGATGATTACTCACAAATACCATGCCATTTTTTGTCACTAAAGAAAAATGGCAGGACATATATTTGATTTCAACTTATAGGGAAAAACAACCCACATTGCATTGCGATTCCCTTAACAAAGTTACTTTAAAATGTTTACGATATAAACAAGGTTCTGAAATAAAGACAGTAAATTAACCTTGCTGATGCTTTTCATTTGGATTGGGTGTTTCACCACATTCAGTACTGGCACCCTCAGCAGAAAGTTGTGCCCCACATTGATCAGTTACCGGCTCGACATCAACACTCTCTGTAACAAACAGTTTATAAACATCAATGTCATTCCGTTCTACCCAAAGCTACAAAGGAAAAGATCAACGCTTTATGAATGACTGTCAGGAAAGGGAAAATAACAGAATATATACCAAATTTCACCTTATGATAAAAACAAATGCCCTCAACATAGTTAGCTTTCACTGTTTACATATAGACTGACTGAGTTTAGTTTTACGCCGCTTTTAGCAATATTCCAGCAATATCACGGCGGGGGACACCAGAAATGGGCATAACAGTTTACATATAGACTGAACAAGAGTTTGAAATAAGGACAGTAAATTAACCTTGCTGATGCTTTTCATTTGGATTGGGTGTTTCACCACATTCAGTACTAGCACCCTCAGCAGAAAGTTGTGCCCCACCATGATCTGCGACCGGCTCGACATCAACACTCTCTGTAACAAACATAAATCTATGTGAATTAGAACTACCTGAAGCTACAAAGGAAAAATGTATTTCAACTTAACCTAATAGGTGTGCAATTTACAGGTAGTGGGAATGATCCACTTTCAACAGTTTATGAAAGACAATAAATATCATGTGTTTGGCAAGCTGAGGGTTAAATTGTCCCTAACCCTCCTGATGCTAAATAGCATCACAACCAACAAACACATGTGATAAGAATCATGTATCTATTTGAAATGGCACAAAAGACGACACTTAATTTTTTGGTTTACTCATCTGCTTACTGTAGCCAAATAAAGAAAGAAAAGTTAAATTTATTTGTAATGTACTGACCAATCTGTACTTTGGCAATATAAATAAAGAAAAAACTGAACTAACAAAGCGTAGTACACCACTGTCATAGTGATCTGTATCAAGTCAAAGAGCAATTACTTCTCTGAAACTATTAACTATTTATGTTTGGTCAGAATACCAACTGACCACACAACAAGAATTGGAATAAAAATAAAAAATAACAAGTGACACAAATTTGTTTTTACTTTTATTTCAACCAACCAAACAAATTTTAATTGAAAAAATCTGTAAAACATAAAATTAAACAATAAGACAAAGTAATCAATAACCCAGCAATAGTTTCATAAATCTAGCAAGTATATGTTTGGTAGATCTGCTGCAGACAAGATGACATCTTCATAGTCACAGCCTGAGTCACGTTTCCACAGCAACCACAATAATTAAATTTGTATCTGGGTCTAACCATCAAATGGCACATCTATGGATCATGCTTGATATGTGTACCAAGTTTGAAGAAGCTGGCATGTATAGTTAAGGAGATCTGCTCCGAACAAGATGACATCCTCATAGCCACAGCCTAAATCACGTTTACATGAAAACCGCAAAAAATAAAGTTCGTATCTGGGTCCAAACCCTAAAAGGCACATCTAGGGATCATGCTTAACATATGTACCAGGTTTGATGAAGCTAGCATGAATAGTTTGGAAGATCTGCTCCAGACAAGGTGACATCCTTATAGTCACACTCACAGCCTTGTTGCGGGGGATAAAAAGTTTGGCCTGAGTGTAAATGAAGCATGTTTGATTTGTTGTTGACATCTGCCCCCTAGAAGTCATAATGTGACCAAAACACTGATGTCACACTGGCATTTCCTATTTGAAATCAGATCTGAACCCAATTAACACATTTTGTCACCACTGGTAGGAACATGTGAGGTGAGGTGAGGAGGTGAGGTGAGGTGAGGTGAGGTGAGGTGAGGAGAAATTGGTTTTAACATTGTGCTTGAGAAAATTTCGCTGATATGATAACGTGCATGCGCGTGTATGTGTATGTGCTGCTGCTTGTACTAGCCCAGACTGAAGCTGGTTTTATAGTGCTAGCCCACTGAGATACCATGCCGCAGTGAAGCATGAATACCCCTCAGACACATTATACTGACTCCGAGCCGACCAGTCCTTGTACCCATTAATGTGGAGCGCCAGGCAGGGACCAACAAGTACCATATTTAAACGTCTTTTGATGACGCGGTCGGGGATCGAAACCTTGACCTTCCGCTCACCGGGTGGATGCTCAAGCACTACACCACAGAGGCGGTCTGTAGGAACATGTAAATTTTCAACTTAAAGAAGCAAATTCAAACCAAATCAAGTTCAGTTTCATGCATAAATTGGTTCAGTTTCACACCATATATGGTATACAAAGTTATAAAGGTAAATAAATCAAACAAACACTATTAGCTCTTAAAGAAAATCAAATGAAGTCTCATCATTCAAACCAAAATCTTGATTATAGCAACATTACCTGGTTTGAAGTATTTCTTAGGTTGCTCGTCCTGCTCAGTGACAAAGAAACAAGACTTAGCATCCACATTACTTACATAAAACAGAAACTGATGAAAATTAATATTCAATATTCGCCTTTAATTGTGTCCTTGGTGTGCATGTTCAACAGCATTACATTTGTCACTCAACTTTGTGCATGACGGCACGGGTACTACTGGGAGCGACCTATCAGAATCAACAAAAAATGCATAGCGGAAAGTGTTCTAAAGATAGCATGGGATTTCTATTTCCCAAGCTACAGTTTCAGTTAATGTGTGCAGCACTGCTTACTT